ATTAGGAAAAGGTTCTTCACCCAGAGGGGGGTGGAGCACTGGAACAGGCTCCCCCAGGAGGCAGTCATGGCGCCAAGCCTGACAACATTCAAGAAGCATTTGGACAATGCCCTCAGACATAATGGTGTGAATTTTGGGGTTGTCCTATGCAGGGACAGGAGTTGGACTCGACGATCCTTGTGGGTCCCTTCCAACTCAGGACATTCTATGTTTCTATGATCATGTGAGATGTTACAGATCCATTCTCTAAACCCAAAAAGACACAAGAAAGGCTGCTGGATACATCCAGGAAGGGGCTCATGAATTCCATCTTCAGCCTAAAATGTGGTCTTGGTAGAGTCCTAAAAGGTCTGGGATTTCCAGGAAAACTGAGAGCACAATAAGAAAACTGAAATCAATACATCATCAGGCCAGACAGGATCATGTGGTTAAAACAGTGGATAAAAACAACCACCTACTTGTAAGGACCTTGCCTCAGCATTAGTTCCTGGACACTGGAAATTAATTTAGCAGGTAGATTTTAAAACTTGAGCTAAGGGACACCAGAAAGAAACAATTTTAGCCTGTTCAAAGCGTGAATGTAAATCATACCCCTCTGCACATGAGATGTGGATCCAAAGGCCTTTTGATAAGAAACTGCTGCCAGACTTCGACTACATAAACTGTCACTGAAACTGAGTGGCTGTCCCTCAGGATGCAGAGACTGCTGTGCAGCCTAAAAAATGGTCTGGGATACAAGATAAAAATAAATGGAAGAGGAACTGGGCAGCAAGTGGAAGCTTTTGGACCAAACCTTTCAATAAACTAAAAGCTGTATCAATCTGGAAAAAAAGTTCAGATACCTTCTGACACACAGCAGTGCTGAACAGCACAGCAGGAGGTCCACTTAGTTCTGCTAAATGTGAGAAAAAAAGTTTTAGTACTGAAGAACTGAATCTGCACTTTCCTAAGTAAGAAGCGAGAGCTGGATCAATGTTGTCAGTACATTACTGCACTTAAAGCAATTGAAAAGCTTGGAGGCATTAAAAATGGAATAAAGATCTCCAAGAAACAGCATGCAGACATCTAAACGCATGGGGTCAGCTTCAGTTATCTGACCTGACAGTTCTGCAGACAAAGAAACAAAAGTGTTAAGAAATTACATGACAGCTACACAGGAGAGTGATGTTATTTCTCCTACAGACAGGGGTAAGGACTTTGACAGACAAGCACTACCCATCTTCCAGTAGCAATTTAGAATATTATTATCACCATTTGCCCTCATTGCATCTCTCCTGGGGGTTCCTCATGCTGTAACTGAGATGACGGATGCACTTCAACCACGATCAGACAATCCCCGACATCTATGCATCAGGGAAGGAGAGCCTGAACTGAAAATACTAAGCAGGAAAGCCTAAGGCGTGGGTTGGGGTTCTCTCCTGCCAACTTTCCTACGTGTGCTGGCAAAATTCAGCAAAGGGCAGGACAGAAAGCTAACCTAGGTAATTTTTAAAGCTCCTCAATGAGTTTCCCATCAGAGAGAGCCTGGTGCAAATCCTCTAGATCATCTCCCCTACTCACCCCTTTTGTCAGCTTCCTCACACACTTTCCCTCTCGCTCCTTTCTTTCACTAACTCAACAAAGAGATAAACTGAACGCAAAATGTAGCTTTAGAGCTGTTTTGGAATTAAAAGGAAATTCAAAGCCTGCATCAAGCCTGCCCCTAGACAGAGGCCAGAAGCAGGACATAATGGCACAGCTAATGGCCAAACTTGCATATAAAGTGCAAGACATCAATAAAATTGAAGCAAATATGTACTAGCCCTAATGACCAACAATAATGGGTACCCAGTTTCCATCCTTAGCCCCCTTTTCTCTCTCAGTAAAGCAGTCCAATAGCCCCATTTGACACAGGGAAGGGGGGGGACGGGACACGGACAACTTTTTACAACTTACTTCACTTGATCGTTTTTCTCTGTGTCGGAGCTCCCCTTGTTCAGCATGTGATAACGCCCAGAGGCTATGCATTGTGGTGGACAGTATGAAGAGTGAGAGCAGAAAGTAATTACTGATTCTTCTGAAAATGACTACCAATCTCTAAAGCTCCACATAAAGTAGGGAACTAAGGTGTTCCTGCAAGTTTGTGATAAATATACAACGAAAAGTCACCGACTCAAAGCGATTCCAGCTTCAGTAACGAAAGTGAAAACAGTCATGCCTTCTGTATGCTGGTGTGCCTTTTTATCAATGCCCTCATGAACTCGCTTCCAAGATAAAACCTGTCAGCAGTTTCTTACCACCTTGAACCTGAACATCCATGTTACAGACTGAACTACTTTTCCCAGGTAAGTATGAAAAAAAATAAATCCATAAAACATTTTATCCATTGAAGCAAATAAGTGAAATATCTGATGAATTGTTTATTTTCTGTAAGAGGCTATAAATATGAATGTTTTTAAGAGTAAATTATTTAAATCTCTATTTTGATATCAGTATTCAACCCGCAAATTTTCTTCTAACTGCTACTCAAAAGGATTGGAGTCCTAGACAATTTGCGCAATGTGCAGTATTGCCAGTTCTGGGAAAGACATCTGTACATTCTCCATACTACTGTAGGAGTCCCAGTGTATGGTAGCAGTTGTGAAAGCGCATTTTTGTAGTTAATTTGTAGTGAATTATGAAAATTTTGTATTTTTTGTAGTGAATTATGAA